CTTATTGTTTTTCCTTTTTCTTATCTAAGGTGCATGCTTCTTAGTAGATTGCGTTATAGGGTACGTACCGTATGTCTGTACGGACGTTGCACGTCATGTTGGACAAACACAGTATCTCGGGGTATTTTTTTCGATTTACTGCATAGGCACTTCAGCCAGGGGCTAGCGAGATGGAGCGAATGGAAACAACCACTTTTTGTCCCACTGGTGTCACTTTTTATTGCTGGCCCGATGTTTCTGCTTGCTGATTTGGTAGGAAACACAATCTTTTCGATCAAATTTTTGGAATAGAAAGTAAAATTTCCCTTCCAAGAGGAGCAATTTGAAGTCTTGCAGAAAATAACTTTCTGATCTTAAGCTTATTCCGGTAGGAAATTCATTGTTCTTAATGTCACGTTGAACAATGCACTGTTTTTCAAAATTGCTTTTCATATTCTTCTATTTACTTTTGTGATAAAGAAAAAAATGCATATAAATATATAATTTCTCCCTTTCTCTTCTCTTAAAAATAAAATAATTCTCTTATACAAATAAGTAATAATGTTTTTATAAGTATTATGATGTAAAACAAACACGTTTCGATGAATTTAAGTAGATTTATACTCTTTTCCTTTCACAAGTAAACATTGTTACAATTACAAATTTAAAATTTATTTTAAATCGAAAAAGTAGCAGCTGTATCACGGAATAATAAAGAAAAATACAATTGAAATGACTTGAAAGGAACGAATATATTATAAACAAATGACTAGTTTAATGCCAGAACCTTTATAATTTTCATATCGACATGTCAATAAGGAAAGAAATCATCTAAAAGAGCAAAATTTATTGTCACAATTCCGGACTGTAATTTTTAATCATATTCATAATTTATTTCATTTAAAATATATGCTCTCGATCTCAAATTAATAGAGTTTTGCCCCTGTACATCATACTTTTCCTGATAATAGCAGAGTCATCTATGTAACTACATTCTAAGAAAAAATTTTTAAATTAAAATTACGTAATTTTGATTGTAAACTGGAAGTTCATATATAATTAATCGGGCCTCCGACCCCTATGCTTTCTATATCTTTTTCAATTTTCATCTATCTAAGACCGTTCTCATGATTAATGAAGGACAGACAGACATAAGTTGTAATGTATAAATCTACAATTTAAAAAATTATAGTCCAATAAAATAATATATAATAAATACAGGGAATTAATAAACAGAAGCATTTAATTTTCATTAAATTTCGTAATGAAAATACAATAGTAGTCAATTATCGTCTCTTCATTCACAAGAGAAACACCATCTAAACTCATCCTTTATGGATTCATTGTGTACTTTTTTCTATTATTATTATTTTTTTTTTTATTCAATTTCTTTTATTCTGTAACTCCTCAATTGCCAATGTTTTCTTTGTTTTTTAACCCCGCGGACAACTTTTCAAGGAAATACAAGAAAAGCTTAATTGTCTTTATGGTGGCGTGGCATTCCTTGAAGCAGACTGTGTTATATGGTTCTGTTCATCACAGACATCAATGAACTTCGGGCTAATCACGTGATCGACACCTCAACAATAAAGTGCAACCTTTTTCTTTTTTACTTTTTTGTTTTACTTTTTCATTCCTTCCTGTTCCAGATTTTTATCCATTAAAAGAAAGACATACAAAGGAACTGATTGAGAAGTATCATAAAGAAAAAATATATATATATAGTTAACTTAAATAAACGAACTGATCTCGGAACAAAGGATAAAAATAAAGAAATCTCAATTGGATTCTCTTACGTGCAGTTTGATTGATTAACTGTTTTAAATTAAAGAGGAGAAGATGGGTCATTTATATACTTGTAAATTGAAGTTTCTTATATTATTTTTTCCGATTGATAGAAATATTTATACAATTTGTTTAGTAGAAATTGTAATGTTTTGAAAAAATATCCAAAACAATTTTTCAGAGGATGTACCCATTTTACTGAAGAAAAAAATAAATAAATAAATAAAACGAAAAAAAAACCTTTATATTTAGGGTATACGCATGGAAAGTCACGAACGGGTTTTCTCTCTAGTGTTTAAATATTTCGAAGCTTTCCATGTAAACAAATAGAGTTATAAGAATCACGTAAAATGGAAGAATTTTATCGCGTAACACAAGAGTTTGTTGCATTAGTTCGACTGTTGTTTGCCCATTGAAAGAGCAGCCATTTTCTCCATCGTCTAGGTGTCAAGAAAGTCGATAGCTATGCGTCTCGCTCCATTGGTTGCAAGGTGACTGACCCCTTAGTGTTACCAGCAGCTCTTTACTGCTTTCACTACTGATTAGCTTTATCAGTAGGTAAATACATGATTGACGCGTAATGCACCACTCTCACTCTCTTTACATCCTCTTTCTCTATTTTTTTTCTTTTTAATGATTTAACGTTAAGTATTCTAAATTGAATTTTATGAGATATATCGAGTTTTATCTGCTAGACGATCGACAAGATGATGGAAGAATGTTTCCTTTAGTTAGAAGAGAAGTAATGTCTTTTATTTTATTTTCTTTTTTAAAAAAAGAAAATAATAATAGAAGAATTTTAACTGATTTGTCAAAATGGATATATTATTATTATTTTTTTTTATATATTTCTAATTTTATAAAGAGAAGTTTTATTAAATTATTATGTCTGGCAGTAATAATTGAAGTAAGTTTGAAAGCTTAAAGATCTAAAAAAAAATTAGAAACGTAAGAAAAATAAAGTTGACAGACAGAAGAACTCATTAGTTTTACTATAATTGTAAAAGATTTAGAAAATTGAATTTTTAGACTTAAGAAATTGAATTAAGTCATACGTTTGGTATAAATTTTAATTATTTCGTTAAAGTTTCTTTCTATAAAATTTAATACTTTTATATAATTTTATCTTTATATTTGTATGTGAAAACAGAAATTCTCAACCTGTGGCTCGCGGATCTTCAAGGATTCTCTATGCTCTAAGAAAAAGAACCGCAAAAAATTCAATATTTTAACCGACTCTAATGAAATAAAATATACCAAAATGTACAGTAGATACACATTTATTGATGCTTGTAAACATAGAAGAAGATAAAATAAAGATTTGTAAGGCTGTCAGTCGAAAAAATGTCCCTCTATCTTAGGATCTGACAATTTTTTTTTTTTTTTTAAACTTTAAAACTTTAGGAGGATGAAGGATGTTGGATGAAGATGATTCTCATTTGTTTATAATAAATGTAGACTTTTCTAAATTAAATTTCTCCACTAAAATGGAGAATATAGTTCAATTAACAATTCCCATTTCAGTAATTAGTTACAAGAAGATTTATAAATCGAATCTTCGATAATAAAATTTTACAGAAACTATTTTAGATAAAAAAAAGATGAAATTATTTGTGATAATAAAAATTTCGAAATTATTAAATAACAAAGAGTATAATAACTATTTGGGTGGATTGACAGTAAAGTATCTTAACCATCTCATCAAACTGAGTTATCTCTTTAGTTGAAGCGCCTCTCGAAATCTCAACTGTGGACATGTGATCACTTGCCAACAGATTTCTAAGGTTACTTCAAATAGTACACATAACCGACCATCATAGAGTAGATATAGTCAGAGGTGCATCAAACTGATAAAGTTGAACGCTTCTGTTGCACCTTTTGCCTTCTGGCGTCACTTTGAGGATTTCCAGATTTTATATATATATTTTTTTTTTATTTTTTACTATAGACAAGAATCCGATCAACGGTTTAAAAAAGTCCATTTCGAAAATGCCAATACTTATAATATAGAGTTGGAAAGAATCCAATGATGGGATTGAGAAAAGAAGATTGAAAACTAAACAACCGATACGAATAAAATTGATAACAAATACGAGTTCTTACTGTGAATTTGTTCGCGTATATACGTAAAAAAAATTGATAACAAATTTTTACAATATTCTAAGCTAGAATATTCGCATTTTAAACGTGATTACTCTACTACACGTGAAAATAAACAGATAGGTACTATACTGTCTGTACCATAAGATCTCTCTATACAATATGTAAAGTGAATGAACTCATATTCATAGCAAGAAAATATTAAAAAATTCTTGGAAAATATTAAGATAAAAAATATTATAATATTTTTCTATATCTATATAAACAATTTACATAAAAAAAGTTTAAAGTTTTAATCGAATATTTCGCGTAAAAAATTCCGAAACTTTTTTCCCTATATAATGCTCACGTTATAAGGAAGAGGAAACTGTAAAATTAAAAATTAATTTCAAAATAAAACTGTAAATATTTTATAAATTTCGATTGCTTAACGGATAAAAAAATATATTCTAATGTAAAATTTTAAAATTTATATAATATTCTATGCGAGAGACGACTTCAAATTTGATTTATCCATCTTGATTTTGATACGCATCTACAAGTGATGCTTAGGATATAAAAATATTTCAAAATCAATTTATGTTATATAAAATTTTTCTATATAAATTTATTTAAAAATATGTTTAAAATAAAAAAAAGTAACAAGAATTTATTACTGAAAATATAAAAATAATATTTAAAATTATAAATTGATAAACAAGAGCAAGAGCATCACTCTATAATAACTTAGAGTAAAGTTAATGTTTATAATAGAGTATGATATTTAATACGAGAATTTATTATGTATAATGGAGGAATTTCAAGTGAAAATAAAATAAAAAAATAAATAAATTTACGAGAGAATTAAAGTTATGTTACTTTAACATGCAACTATAATAATGTAACTCTAATATCACGCTACTAAAATGAAAAATATACATTAAAAATATACTTAAAAATAAACTTAAAAATTTTTTAAAAATTAATTATTATTCTTATAATAATAATAATAAAATCTATAAACATTTGGAGTATTTTTTTATTGAATTTTAAAGAGTCAGAAGTGATGTAAATAATAAAAATTAAAAAAAAATATATATATATATAACAGTCATTACAGCAAATGCGAATAAAATCGAAACAATAAATAAACTTACCGAGCCACAATTTTCTAGCAACGTTAGGAGGAAAAACCAAGTGCAACAGATCTACGTTCTTTCTTCTTTCAACTTCGACAGCTTTATTGGCTTCTTGTATGGAGTTCTTTAGCTTGTCCATCCTCCTTTTCAATCCGTCTTGAGCTCGCACCTGCTCCTCTACTAAAATGATATCCCTTGTAGCATCGTGGATGGGGATATCAGATAAGTACAAACCTCTAGCATTCATCTCGTCTAAACCGTTTACAACTGGAGATCCTAAGAATAATAATGAGTCTGATTCTGGACAATATATCATTTGCCCTTTTAACGACATCTCCTAAAATATATTATAAATTAATTAGCTTGTAATTCTAATTTAAACTAGAATTAGTTCAATTTTTATAATTAATTACTTCGGTTTAAATAAAGATATTCAAATTTAATATTCAATTATTTTTTAGAATATTTGGATCAGATAGAGTAAACTGTTAGTAAAGTTAATGCATACCTCGACTTGTTTGTGACAATTGTGAATGGTTAAGAAAAAAGGCATGTTCATCTTAGCGTAAATAGCTTGAAAGCAAGGAGATATTTTGGGTTGTTGTATTCGAAAGAATTTCATGATATTACATCCTCTAATTTTCTTACTTCTATCTCCAATAAGTTTAGATAAACCTAAACCTACTTGAGTTAACTTTAGATTGCGGTCAACAACAAAATGAAATGGGAAAGCTTTACAAAATGAAGTAACAGACAATCGAGTATCTCCTGTTTCTATTGAGTTGCATTCCAATACAGGAGGATCTTTTTCGTTCGCTTCTCCTATTTTCACTTCGTATAAATAGCTAGCGACAGAATTTCTTCGCATCTCTATGATAGTTCTTAAATGGAATAAACTATCTAAAATCCTTTTTATGACGCCAACAAATGCTCTAGCCCAGAATAACCTCTTCGTTGATAACTCTAGAATCAGATGATCATTGGATGATTTCGGCAATACTTTAAGTGTCTCTCTTTCTTCCTGGTCCGATTTATCGAGAACATAGTCGAGGCATTCCAAACTAGTAAAGAAATCAACTGCTGTACCTCCCAGAAAACTAAGAGCTCTTTCATGAGATTTTAAACAAGTTATTGCATGAAGACTTCCACATTCTTCGAGAAGCTTATCTTTCTCCAAATCTGTAAAAGTATCTTTTCTTGATTAATGTGCATCGAAATTGTGGCACATTTTAAAATCAAAGTTTAATGCATAATAAATAGTCTATTAATTCTTCATTAATAATAATACTAACCGAACAAAGAAGAATATTCAGACAATTTCTTGAGATGGTCATCTTCAAAATTTTTAAAATCACTTTCATTTTTATCCATTTGTAAATTGAAAAATTGAACATCGTTCTCAGATTGAAATTCTCTTGATTAAAAAATAAAATAATTTAATTCACAAAATTAAGAAAGAAGGAAACATAAACAAGATGATTTTCTTTAAAGACTCTGTCTTAACTTTTTTAATTTACAATTTTAGCAATTTACATAAGGGAAGGATTAAATTAAACATGTTTTCTTGGCTGTAATTAAAATTATATTAACAGTATGCAATTTTTTAAATAGCAGGCAAACTTTAATACCTATTGTTAATATTATGCTAAATCAAAAGATGGAAGACCTAGTCGAAAATTAGATTTATAAAAAATTAAGAGGCTGTCTTTTAAAGTAGTAGTGCGAAGTTTTCATATCTATAATAAAGAAACATCTACTTACTTATGATTTTTTTCTTTTGCTATATTCTCAACAATCGAGGATAGTACATAATTCTGAAATAAAAATATAAATATGTATCATGTTTTCATTTAAAAATAATAAATCTTTAACACAGCTTTGAAATTATATCAGTGTTTTTTGATTTATCGATTTTCTTGTCATACTTTCTAGAACTGGGTTTTACAGTCTTTTAGTGAAGTTGTCAAAGTATGTCACCAACACGCCTTCTGCCTCGTTGACAAACTCAACGACCACTTATATATTTTTTTACTACTTTACACAACATAAAAATTTTAAGTAAAGTTAAGTTGCTTCAAATACCAGAAAGATATTTTNTAAATACATTTTTTTTAAGTTAATTTAGATTTAATTATGTGTGAGAAGTAAATACGAAAAGAGCATCACTCCTACTTTAAGTGGAATAAAATCATATAAAATACGTATTAAACTATAACATATAATTATATTTATTGTTTTATTTAGAGTCAATTCAAGGGATAATGAAAGAAAAAAAGCGAGAGGATGAGGAAGAGGAGAGATGCTGAGCAGATAATTTCGAATAACTTTTATGAATAAATTCTCTTTATAAATCATTATTTAAAGAAAAATAAATAATAAACAGGGTGAGAGATTTAAATATCATATAAATAAAGTAAAAAAAATAAACAAATTATATAATTTGTTATAAAAGAATTGAATTGTATTTTATTCGATATGAATGCATTAAAAAACACATTATTTATCACTAAGTAACTAAGAAGTAATTGACTTTTATTTATCATCAATTGAATAATAATAATCTTCTAATGACAAAATCTTAATTCTTAACTTCTAAGCTAATGACCAGTCAATAAATTAAGAGTTAATCATCATTAACCCCAATTTAAATCACGAAAATATAAAGCAATTTCTTGTTTCAGGCCAAGTAACTAAGATAGAAGGGGTTACGAATAAATTTCTACTTACTTAAACTCTCTTATTTTTTTTATTGTTTACAGAAAAAAATAAAATAAATTCTTTAAAACAACATTCATACATTAAAAAAATCGAAAATATTACCAAGAATTTTTCATATTTTTATTATAAATTCAAAAAAAAAGAATCTTGGGATGGATATATTTAACATACTGTATAAACACTTTTCATGAAAGCGTATCGCGTGTATATATTATTCTAACAAGTTTTCTTCTTAGGAGTAAAGTAAATAAACTGAAAAGGAAACAATATCTAAAAATATAAACATGTTTTAATACATATAGGACAGTTTGAAGAGGTTATTTATATACCGTAATCTATATACATCCATATATAGGATACATCTTTTAGAATTAGATAGAAAGAGAAATGAAGAAAAAAATATATATGTTATGTATAATTCTATGTGACTTGAATTTGAATTTATTTTCCATCAAACGATGAAGATACGTCTTTAGAGAAAGATAGAGCATTGCTACAAATCAATAGAAGCAAACAATCAGTGACACTCTTGATCTGCCAGCACGTACTAAAAGTTTCAGTGACAATTCTTTATTCCCCCCTCTCTACTAGAATTGAATGCAAACGTATTCACGCCAACTGCATGTTATCGATGAAAGTCAGAAGCTGTTTGTACAAAACAGCTAAAAAAATAATAATAAATAAATAGAAAAATGTACAAGAAGTAGGAATTTTTGTATAGTATCTTTGTCATTTTCATTTTATAAATTTATTCTGTATTCTTACTGATTTATAAAATGGGTATTGAACTATTTGAAAGGAAAACTTTCTACTTTGTAGGAAATAGTTATACATTTGGTATAAATATAATTAAAAATTAATAAAATAATCGAATTAGATTGAGCCTATCTCTGTAAACAATATCGAAGCATCATGGAAGATGGAGAGGATGCTGTTCCTCTTAGCAGATTATAAAAACAAATTAAAAATTAAACGAAGAAAATAATAATATTTTATTTAATTAATAATAAATTTTATCATTAAATTTTTCATTAAAACACGAAAGAATCTTTAGAATCTAATTGATGTATGTGTTCTTATAGAATAGCTTATTCTTGGATTAACCTGTTTCCAGAAGGTTAATTCTTCTTAGAAGAATGGTTAACGAGTAAATCTATTATAGAAAGATTAGAAATTTCTAAAAATTGAATACAATTTTTACATATTTTATGATTAAAACCACAGAGAACCACTTTAAGCATAACTCTTTATTTAGAAGCTAGATGCTTAAATTTAATTGTATTATTTAAAAATATTAAATATACGATTTAGAAATGGTATTATTTTAGTAGAAAAGCTGAAAACCTGCTGCAGCAAGTTCATAAAAATTCAGAAAAATTGTAATAAAAAGAATAATAAAATGTTTATTATTATTTTATCTTTTATCAAGATCGCATAACGTTAATCAAAAATAGTGTGAATATTTTGTATCTTTTAAAGATATTTTATATCCCTTAACTAGGTTTGTTTTATTGCATTTTTTTTTTAAATTTTTTTTTATATAAATACGACAGAACGTATCATTTATCTTATTCAGGAAACATTCTATTATAGCATTGTACGTTAAAGTAAAAATCATTCCTGGAAAAACTGGATATGAGATACTGGATATTGACTTTTTTTTGGAAAATCCGTCAGGGCTACATTATTCTTACAGAAATCTGATAGAAAAATGATGAAAGACAAGCAGAATATAACAGGGATAAGAAATTGGCCAGGCACGTGACATGCCAAAGATATCCAATGGTATAGTTTGTTGTATATCGAGATACATCACATATTTCACAACTTCTTGATATGGAATGTGGAAGTCAATAAGACAACGTGTTCGTCCGTTATTGTGAGTTCCAATGACCCCGAAGCACGAACGTGACAATCATGATAAAGAATATTCTTTTCGTCAGAACTTTCCCTTTTTGGGGCCAGTTTATCAATATCTGGATGATACAAGTTTCGAAAACAGCTCACGGCATATATATGAAATAAAAGTATTTTTTCTATTATTCCATTTCAAGTTGCTCTCTTAAATTTTCGATAAAAATCAAGATGTCTGAAAGGAGACAATTTTTCCACCATTTTTCCTTTTTTTTTTTTTTACCAACGTATACACATTATATTTAACTAAAATTCTATAGTTATTCGCTATGTGCCGCCATTAATGCTTAGATTATTGATAAATTTATAAACGTTTAGATCATGATTTATAATAAATGATATTACGTTATAGTATCGTATAATATAATTGTTGATTGATGCGCTTCGACTAATGTTACGTGTCTATTGCCTACATAAATTTAACTGATAGCAAACGTTTTTGGCCATTAAATCTCGAGACAATTCAATTAATATCAAATGGATCTCTTGCAGAATTTATATTTTAAGAAGAAATATTTATCGGTGTAGATGTTCCTTTAAATCTTTCAGTTAAAAATTAAAATATAAATATGTTTTAAAACGAATTGTTTTCAACAAATGAAAGACAGAGAAAACTTTGATAATCTATTAAAAAGAAGCAGTAGAGCACAGAAGTTACATCACGTTAAAAGTTTTTCTTCCAAGTCCACTAGTTTTCTGCTAGATTGTTTAAATACCCAAAGGGTTGTAATCTTGAAGATCCAAAAAATTCGATGGAAACCTGCGAAACGAAAGAGATTTGAAGTATGTGACATTCAGCGCCCAGGAGACTTAAAAATCAATGTCTGTACTTTTTCTCCCTCCCTTCTGTTTTCTTTGTTGCTCTCTGCTTAGCGTGGACTGATCTGATACAATTTCCTCTGTGGAAGCTTCCTCCAACTTGAAGAGGAACTGGATGTCCCATGAGGTATCACATAGCAAGCTAAGGTGATCGACGAATCTTTGTTGCACATTAGAAGTTAACTAAATAAAATTCATCTAGCAGAAAAAATTGTTGATATATATTTCTCTCTTTTTTTTATTATAACAAATCCAATTTCTTTATATTTTATCAATTATATTTTCAACACTGATAACTGAACAACTTTCAACGTATAAAGTTTAGTAAAATCATCTAAAAAATTAGATATAAACTAGAATTTTTGGAGGGATTTTTAATAATTAAATTAACTTAAAATTTTCACAAATAGCTTATCATTAGTAGCTTCAATAACACAGAATTTTAATAAAATAATGTGTAACAAATGAAGAATGAGAAGAAAAAAAGGTAAATAATTTACACAAATATATCCATTTAGACGAAATAATGACATCATCAAGTTTACTTATCTATCCACGTGGATTCTGACTGTTGTATTGTTACAACTGACATTGACGGACATCCGAGAGACCTCCATTGTAGAAAAGCAAGATAAAGCATTCTCCTACTATTGCGCATTGTCCATATGGAGGCCGTGTTCTCTCCAAATGATTGGCAGACGTAGCTGCAGGGATAAGAAAACGTTTAAAAAGAAATCACTTGCTTGTTGTTTTTACGACATTGAAGATGGCTGCTACTGTTCAACGTTTATCATCCTCTTCTTACAACCACCTCGCATTGGACGTACGTCATAAGATATTTATGATTTACATGGCTCTGTTGCTAGTAAAGTGGACACCGGTGTGCTTTACTGTCTCATTTCATTCGTCTCAAACACTACAACTGTCGATTTGTTTTCTAATGTTATTCGGTTGTATGTCTAGAATCCTATTTTTTTTTTCTACGTGGAAAAACATTGGATCTATCAATAAAACTTTATTTATGAAAGAAACATATTTTCTTAAAGAGAGTTAATATATATACTATAGTAAACACTAGGCTGGCTATAATTTAAAATATACTAAAATTTATATATACATATTTTTAATATGTAGAAAAAAAATTAAGGAAAAAAAATCTGTATATAAATCATGATTAATTAAATATTATGGACCATTATCTTAATATAAAATTAATCAGNAAATATATATATATATTTTTCTCTCCTTTAATTTTTCTGTTTTAAATTAAAAATAAAGGACTTTATTCTATTTGGGTAATTATAATTTTTAAAAGTTTTCATTAAAAATAATAAAATTTATGTAAATATAACTTATTT